CTGGAAGCTGCTGTAGCTGATTCTAAGGACAACCCACATGAGTTTATGAGGTAAGAGATTGTAAGAGAGTGCGAATCTGTTGAACTCGATCCTTTTGAGGCTGGTTTGACAGTTGAAGTTGAGAACAGATAGACATGGCTTGTAGTTGAAACTGTAGGCCTTAGATTTTGTAGATTTTTAAAAATCAAATGAATCATCGGAGCGATATATACGTATTGGCACAGTCTGACTTACAGGGTTTGAGAGCTGAGATTCACTTCGTTTCTGTCTGCAACAATGGCTTCTCTCCCCTCCTCTGCATTTGGTTTTGTGTGTCGTTAAACTGTTAAAACTAACCCTAGCAGATTTTTTTTTTTTTTTGGAACAACTAACCCTAGCAGAGTTGATGAAGTTCAATTGTAGGAAGAGGAGCGTACGTACGACGTCGTGATTTCAAATGTTTGGCCACTCCGCCAACAAAAAGAGTTTGTTTGGCTGGATAGAATCAAGTCTGAGACTTGGACTATCCCGCACCTATATAGGCTATATTGGTTATCCTATCCTCGGATAAAGGGCATTTCCTGTTTTTTTTGGTCAGATTAGTGCATTTCCTTGAACACGATGGACTACACTTTATAGAATTTCCAAAGCTTGCTCTTGCAATAATTATGATATTTTAACACACTAATTTTGTTTGTTGTAATAGAACATCATTGCAACTCTGTATCTGTTTATGTTCCAAAAAAAAAAACTCAAGTAATAATGCAAACTTCGAATACACATAATTACGTATCAATGACATGAATCGATTTAATCTATGTATTTTGTACAATCAAGAATCTTCAGACTCAAAATGTACGAATTTAAATTTTGATATTTATTTGACCAATAAATTAAATCATGCCAATTATTTTGATTGTCAATTATTAGTATTCATACATTAATCTTGCTAAGTCGAGAATTGGGCTTAGAATCCAGAAGCAAAAGTGCTACGAGGAGTACTACATTAAGAAAGTTTACAGAATTAATTACTAATTTACAATAATTTCGAAACAAAATAATTAAATTATGACACTTTTAAATTTATTTATCAAAATATGGTATTTTTTAAAAAAATAAGAGTTGTTTACCCCGCTTTTGTTTGCAACCACGCTCTGCTTTTATTATAAGTGGGGTCAACGACTCCATTTTTAATCTTTTGTTGGAATAGGAGAGTGTTAAGCCTAATGAAATAATTCTTAAAAGTGGGCACCTTTAAAAAGGGTGTTTTGACCATCTTTTTAAAAACTGTCGTAATTTGGTAAATAAGTTTAAAAGTGTCATAGTTTGGTAATTTTGTTTCAAAATTGTTGAAGATTAGTACTTTTTTTTTTACTGGTTAAAAATAGGGTGGGGACAAGGAAGAGCGTCCAACGACTACCCTAATAGGCTCTCACTGGTGGGATCATAAGACCCCTAATCGCGCCTGGAACTTCTCTCGGGACCAAACCTAGCTAGGTTAGCATAGCAACCAACCATCAAGCTCCAATGAGGACTCCAAGATTCGAACTCCCAACCTCAAAATGAGGAGTACTTAATTCAAGTTTAAAGTGCTTGAAGTGGAGTAATCTTAGACTATACACTGACAATATAGTCTTCAATTTATGCTAGAATATTGAGCTGATGAAGAACAAAAGTATATCTGGCAGAGGATACATCAAGAAGCCACCTTATCAGAACTGGGAGTTACATTCTCTGATCTTGGCTCAACTGCAAACTCAAGTTCTGATCAATGGAACTGCAGCATACAAAAAATGCTAGTAGAACCATTCAGGAGCTCATGAAAGTCACCTCTAGAACTGTGTGCTGTTAGCATAAGCAGCTTAAAAAGAATGTTAAGGAACCTTTCTACAACAACTTGTTCAAAAGATGAAAATGAACTGGGGGTACCAGTCGACCCAAACTTGATCATACGATATGATCAAACCATAATCTGTATGAAACATACTTTTCACGTTAACTGGACGTGTGTCAGGTTTTTGTCTGACATTGTCAACAATAAGCCCTCCAACCAAAGTAGAAGTCAATCTTTTATTCTTTGTCGTACGTGCAGTCATACCGCGTGTGTGCTCATTGTTTAACTTCTTAATGTAAAATCATCCATTTATCCGTTAGAGTGTAGCAACAACAAACCACTCACACCCAACAGAATATTTCATTGCACATTCAGTTTTCACCCTTGTTTTTTCATTCTTCAAATAATTAAACTGAAAATCAACTTTGATTGCATATTTGCATAACACATTCCAAAAATCAACTACTCTTCCCTCAAACTTCTGTCCCACCTCTACTATTACATTGGACCATCTATCAGTCAACAAAACATTCTCATTGTGAGAACAAAAACGAGGGAAAAGATCATCCTCGCGACCAATAGGGTCAACAGTTAATTCAGAACTTTTCACAACTTCCCCACCCTCAAAATCATTAACCACATTCCCTTTAATAACAACTGTAACTTCAACAAAATTCAACTGAACAAATCGTACAATTAGAACACGTTTCTCACAACATTATCATTTTGCAAAGCACAAATCAGATGTCCGAGAATAGCGTACGATAGGGCAACACAATTGACACTCAAACCATTCCAATTGTCACAAACACCATGTAACACATCATCAATTGTGGAATGCATTGAAATTCTTAACACAACAATCTTAGAAGAATACTTGCAACAAACAAAATGTTATCATCCATCTGTTATAACCAATAAAACAAAAATAAGTGGGAAAAAATAGAAAAACAAACATAACTATTCTAATTCCAATAAATCACTAACAGTAACATGATAAAAAAAAACCTAGAACCTAATTAAAAAAAAAATAACTCTGATAAGGAACATCGCGATATGAATACCGGAAAGTTACATCGTATTTTGGCAATAACAAAAGGAAAAAAAATGAAAAATAAGCAATTATAATTCTAATAAAATCACGAACAGTAACATGAAAGCAATAACTTAGTACCTAATTTCAAAAAAAAACTCTGGTGAAAAAGGTTGCAATATGAAATTCTGATAAGTAACCTAGAATTTCCAACAAATGAATATCAATTTACGCAAAAAAATCCAAAACAGCACAAGAATTCATATCATGTAAATCAAGAAATTACAATGAAAATACCTCAGCATATAATAACTAATCATATTATGTAAATCAGTCAATTACAATGAACATATCTCAGGAAATAGAGAACGAATAAGTTAACCTGGAATCACAGCAAAATTCGAACTCTCAATTGATGCATGTATCACCTTCAAAAATCCTATCAAACAAAAATGACGTAGTGGTATCGTGTAAATAAGAAGGATACCGCCTGCTTCTTGGAAAAAAATAATCGCTCGAATTTCCGGTGAGAAAGAAAGTTGATGTAACAGACAACCAAGTTCCTGTGCTTCAGAAAATGAAATTTGAATTTGAATATGTTAATGGAAAATTTTGAACTGAATTTGAGATAATAGCCCATTAATTTTGACATAAATCATGCAGTCGAATATGATATTCTCTTTTCCTTAAAAAACTGAATATAATTGTTAACATATATATCTCAAAATATCTAATCTATAACTTTCTATAATTATCTAAGATTAACACCGTTAGGGGTATTTTTGAGATTAAAAAAAAATGGACTTAAGTCAGTATACATAATTTTAAAAGTAGACTTAACCCCTTATAAGTTTCCTTACCGAACTTATCTACAAACAAGTATATCCAGGGGGACTCACTCCCAATTTTCACTTATTTATAATGTTAAAAATTTGGGATCTTCCTTTTAAATGGGGCCTAAAACCCAGGCTTTTTTACACCTGCCGTTGAGTGTAGATGCATTGGTATAGCAATTGGAGAAATTTTACACACCAAATTTGTAATACCATAAGCAGTTTAGGGCAGCTCCAAGGACATGGTACCAATGAACTATGACACAGAGAAAGTAGAAGACATTTTACATAGAGAACCTGAAATCGATTGCCATGAATGAGGAAGCACTTACAGCTAAATCTAAGAGGGAAACCAAGAGATACCCCAATATAACGTAACTCTCACTCAGCTAGCTGGTAATGTTTTTTCTCCTGGATCAAGAAAAATCCTTCAGCTGAAGACAATATAAATGCTGTCATGCCTTTCTAAAGGACAGATATGGGTGACTCCGCTGCAATGGAACTAAAGTAGACCTTGAAACAAGGCATACAATATAGGTGGAAGTACGAAAAAGCCTTTGAGTTACAATCAATCCAAGAGTTATACTACTTATTTTGACGAGTGCCCCTGCATCATGCCCATCAAAGCACAAGCCTTATCACGAAGTAACTCTTGATAATTACTTAACAAGATCAACTAGGCAATCTGTGAAATTCTGAAAACGGGGTTTAACAAAGTAGAGGGTTGCTTCTGAAATGGTGTTTAAGCAATAAGCACAATGAAGAGAATTTCAAATCAACAACAATAAATATCAAAAAAAAAATCAACAACAATAAATAAATAAATAAATACATTCATTAAATTTATTCTTTAGCTAACCATTTTTCTTTATAGAGAAAGCATAAAAAAGAATAATAAAATCACTGTGCCAATGATCAAATCAATTGAATAATAATTTGAAGAAAATGTGATGTTCAAATAATAAAATTAAAAGCTTTAAAACCTGACTGCTTAAAATTCAACAAGTGACTTGATGTTTATCTCACAGAGGACTTTATAATCCTTCAGTTCTGTCATTCCTTGGCAACTAAATGGAGGACAGGGAGGAGAGTCTCCAGAACTGTAATGGCTATTGCCATTGCTAATAAACAAGACCACTGTCATTTCCTGGAAAGCATCATCTCATTGCCATCAACTGATACAGCAGAGCAAGGAATGGACAACCAATCCAGATAAACTTGTGCAATCTTAATTTAAATTTAAGTCGAGATCTCAAATAACTGTGCCGGACAGGAGATCTTGAAGTACTATGCTGGACATATTCTACAACAATATATCCATTTACATTTTTAAAGCAACAGGAAATCCCTGAAACTTTATCTTGCCTTCATATGCTTCAACAACTTCAGGAATCACGTTCTGATACTTGCTCACAAACTTCCCCATAAACATCTTTTCCGACATTCTGAAGGCGAAAACTAAGCTCGTATCTCTCCTAATCAGATTCTTTGACATCAAAAGTTGTAAAACTGAACACCTTGGGATAATCCTCTTTTCCAAGCTAAGTAGCATAAGATTCGGATTCTTGGAAATCATCGAAGGCTTCAACTTCAGCTCATTCACAAAGAAAGTCATCAATTTCTGGATTTTCTTTTCTGAAGTGATCATACACATGGGCTGCAATTTGAATGCTTTAATAATCTCATCCTCTGACAAACCATAACTACAATAAACTCCAAATTTCCGTTCCCACAGTGATTTGCTCGTGACTGCCATTGAGCGGACAGCTAAAACAAATAGTAGAGAAGAGGGATTAAAACCTAATTTCGTTATTTCACCGACAACCTCTCCAAATCGAGTAGTTCTCACAAGCAGCGACTTTGGTTGAATCATCATCAATTTCAAAACTATTGACTTGGGTACACCATGATTCATCAAGATTTCAATGTTTCGACCAAGTACCTCCTCCAAATTGTATTCAAGTATGCGGTAGCATGCCTTGATTGCTTTCAATACTTTCTCATCGGTGCCAAGGATACGCCTTATGACATCAACAGAAGGTATGATATGATTTTCGAGACTCCTTTCCAAAATATAAGGCTCTGAGGACAATATTTGAGCAATTTCTTCTCCAGACAGGCCAACAGATTTGAAAAACTCCAACTTAGGCGTGAAAATTTTTTGTGCATTATATAAATATAAATTGGGGCGCTTCATGGTCAATGTTGAAATTTGCTTTTCACTGAATCCATAAGCCCTAAAGAACTCAACTACTGTATGTGCATCGGTTTCAAGTATTCTTGGGTCTCTTTGGAGTAGTTTCACCAGGTTAACACCAGAAAATCCCATTGTCTTCAGCAACTCGAAGTTGGGTTTAAGGGTTTTGAGTGGGTCAGCCAAAAGAATCAGCGGACGAGTGGCGACCAATTTCTTTATCTGTGTTTGGGTTAACCCATGCCCTTTCAAGAGGTTCAATACTGACTCTGGTTGGTCAGTGGTGCCCAGTTGGAGCTTCTTGGAAGCTGCTTTAGCTGATTCTAAGGATAACCCACATGAGTTTATGAGGTAAGAAACTGTAAGAGTCTGTGGCTCTGCTGAATTCGAGCTTTTTAAGGTTTGTTTGACAGTTGAGGTTGAGAATAAAAAGACATGTCTTGAAGTCAAAACTATAGGCCTTAGATTTTGCAAATTCTTGCTTATAAAATGAATCATCGAATTCGTATGAACAGTTTACCTTACCGTGTGTGCAGGCCGAGATTGAGTATGTTTCTGTCTGCAATAATGGCTTCTCGCCTCAACATTTGGTTTGGTGCGCCGTTAGCTGGTAAACCCTAGCTCAACTGATGAAGTTAACGTGCCCAGGAAGAAGAAACAGGAGGAAGAGAAGGGAACGACGTCGTGTCTCTTGACGAGTGACATCACACTCGACGATTGACATACACACCCCAGCTTTAATTGCGTTAATCGAGCCTTTATATCTATCTCCATTAAATTTTTTTAATGAAAAATGGTGAATTAAGTCACTCATATGACCCAAATAATCGGAGTATACTGCAAATATGACTTTCAAACTATAACTCTTATATCTGTTGAGCCTTTTAATTGTTTTTATGTCCATTGAGCGTCTAAACTTTTTAATTTTATCAATTGAATTCTTTTGTCTTTTTATGTCACATATAGTCACATGAGCAATATACTCAAATGGAAGAAAATAAAATGATTTAATTAATATAAATTAGAGAGTTTAGGGGTTCAATTGATACCAAAAAAAATAAAAATTCAAGGACTTAATCTCATGTTGCTCATGTGACATGAAAGTCATAAAGGTTATACGTATAATTTACTCATAAATAAACAAATAATTGATCATAGAGGGATTTTCACAAAGTTTAATGTGCACTTTAGTAATGTCTTTAAAATTATATTATCTAAGCCAAAAAAGTAGCTCAAAAGGGGAAACTTATTTTGTTATTTAACATATATACTATTCTAAATATCAATAAAAGTGGAAAATTTTTTGTTTGACCAAAACAACCTTAACAAACTAGCTAATGTTAATCATATCTTTTAATAGTTAATGACATTATTACACTTTCAATACCGTCAAATAATTTTATAAAGTCAAAACAGCAATGCTATTCTGATCAAAATTAGAGATTAAATAAAGATTCCAAATGACATAACAGTCTAATCAAGTCTCTCAAATTAACTGTCATGTCATTTACTAAAGCTCTCAAATGACATGATAATTGAGTTGAAAAGTTGATTACGTTGAGTATTGTCTAATCAGTCTTTCAAGTCAGCTGTCATGTCATTTAATAAAGAGTCCAAATGATATGACAGCTGACTTGAAAGACTGATTCTTTTCAAATTAGCTGTTATGTCATTTAAACTCTTTATTTGATCCTTAATTTTGGTAGGTCAAAAATATACATATGCCGTATTTATATAGTTGTTTTTGGTAAATACTAGATTTGTGTTGATATAATAGTTATTATGATATTACATTAAATATCAAATTAAGAGAAATAAAGTATTTATCTTTCCTAAAACACTGCTCACTCCAAATAAACTTCTTCTCTCTTTTCCCCCCAGACCATCCGTTCTCTCTCTCTCTCTCTTTCTCTCTCCGCTACTGTCAACGCATTTAGATCTCCCTCTTCTGCACCTCACCGTCTGTCGCCCTTACTCCTTGTGACTCTACGCATTCTTGTTCTTAACGTCTGGAGTTACAATGCCTATATCAACAATCAATTTGAACCTCAGCAATTGCAATACTCCTAGTTAGAATTTGATTCAATCTAGGCATTTCATTCCACTTCACTCTCTCTGTATGAAGCAAACACTCTGTGTGTCTTTCTATTTCTCAGCCTTATATTTCTTGGTATGCTCTTCCACTGATATCTGTTAATTAGTTTTTTTTTTCTGTGCAAATATATCTCAGATTTTATCTGTACAACTCTGTCTCTCGGCTATTTATGCAATAGAATTAGGGGTTTTTCATATTTAATTTTAAACATACTGTATGTAGCAATAGAGATAATACTGGATATTGCTCGCCAAATTCACTCCATCAACCGGCCAAAAAGCAAGAAGTCAACAACCATGGATGATACGTGAAGCCTCATAACCCGCTTTCCTAGCAGGTTGGCACAATATTACTAAAGATTGGCTCAATTCTTCTCAAACACCAACACATGTGCACATATTTATATTTATATATGCTATACACATTTATGTGAATTTTCTTGGTCTTGATATTCTTATCCGTAATTTAAGTGACCGAGATGAATTGAAGTACTCTGTTATTGAAAGCAATGCAGCTAAAAAGGAAGCTTCGCCAATTGTTCTAGTCATTTTTATGCAAAGCGAATCCAAGCTTTTGATCTGTTTTTGAAATCTACCCATCATAGCAATATATTTAATCGCAAATTTGAATTCACATAAAAAAATAAATGTTTAAACCAAACTTTTTTGCTGTTTTGACCATATTTATGTGAAATTTTAATCTACCGAAGGTGGAGGCCGTGAAAATTTTCTTGTAATGGTTATGCATTGTTATGGCTCAGCAGAAAGTATATCTAATTTCCTCTCTACCTCTCTTCTTTTGTTGATAACATTGTAGAGAAACACATACGGACACACCACCTAACGTGTTATTGGTGCAATACAAGGTATGCCTTTTTTTTTTTTTTAGTTCTTGTGAAGTGGGAATTAAAACATACAGTTTATATAAGCTGCATTTTTTTTTCAATTCATCATCTGTTTATATTTGTAGTTGAGTCATCAATGTAATTGTGTTCTTTATCATTTTGTTCTCTTAACTGAGCTAAATAAGATTCTTTAATTAGGCTTAGTCTATGGGTGATAAATTGTATTTTGTAGGTTTATATGTTATATAGATCCAATTTAAAAAAGCAGTGGGTCAAAAAATAGTTATAGATATATATGGCTCTGTTAGTTTAGTACATGGTTTATAGGTGTATCTTAATGGACACACGTATGAAATGAATAGTTCCGTTAGTTTTGGAATTGAAAATGTTTCTAGCAAGAACCCATACGGTAGTCTAAAATCTTTTTAGATTGTTAAATAAATATATGTTGATACTTGATGGATTGATGCCGGAAAGGATTAATTATAATGCTAAACATTTCTTCATTAGGCCAATTGTTATGGGCACTTGCTTTCTCCTCTGAATTCACTTTTCATGAGATTTGCTAGTACTCAACGGTGGTAACAATTTTGTTTACTTGCAGGGTCATGGTGGACTTGGAGTGATTCCAAATGTTCATTATTTTTCTTCTACCCTTTACTTCGAGAACATCGAACTTGTTTGCATTTTTCTCATTTGAACAAAACTTGGGCTATTTCTACTTGCAACAAATGTATACCCTCAAACGCAATTTGGGGGTTTAGTAGTCCTTGGGATGTTGGTCTTAAGCACCCAATTGGTCCATCAGTAGTTATTGTTATTGAATCACTCATGGCCGGAGTATTTGTAGATTCTCATTAGCAATTCGCTGAGCAAAAAAAAAAAACTAGCAACTCCAATTGAGATGGTCTTCAAAGGCAGCCGGTGTTGGGCACTATATGTCAATATGTCAAAAACCCAATTGAATGGAATTGTTTCTGAGATAAGGTAGGTGTTTAGAACTTTAGATACAATTCAACTCGCCTTAACAAATATTTTAAAGGTATAGTACACTAATAAATCTATTTTTTATGTGTCAAGTAATGACTACCCAAAATAAGGAACAAGCCCGCTAGCAATTATTTGTATGTGTTGCACGTTTTCACTTCAATTTTTTTCTAATAAAGTTATTGGCCGGTGTAACTTTCTCATAGTATATTTACTGGTTCAAATTGAGTAATATTTTCTTATTACTATGGCATCCTTTCATATTTTTTAGATTGGTGTGTACTGTGAAAGTTGTGTCCTACAATTGCTTAACTTTCTGTGGTTAACTCAATTGTTTTAGCCACATGAAGTAATGATTTCGATTTTGAAAGTCCTTACTCGAGACAACTTTTTCAATAGTAACCGCATGCATACTTCATTTCATCTAAAAGTAATAGGATGGTTATTGTGGTTTGCTAGATAAAAGTATAGTATGATGAGAGTGAAGTGAAAATGAATTAACTCTCAGGTGCTATCTTGAGTCATAATTAAGCTGTTAAACCAGTATCAGTTGGTTGACAACCTTGTTTATGTTGTTGCATATCTAAAAATCTTGTCATATATCCTACCTGAAGGTGGGGATACTTAATGAGCAAGGTTCAAAGTTTGTCTTTTTTGTTTAGGAAATTAGTATTTGTTTTTGAAAGTTGATATTTTAGGGATTTGGTTATGGGAAGTCTTGGTATTTTTACTAATTTGGGGTTTGTCAGTTAGAAGCATCTACAAATTAGAAACTGAATAAGAAGATTCCACTGTTCAATCTTCTCTCATAGATCCTTTGTCTTGTTATTCACATTCAGCTGTTGTCGTGTTATTCTAGTTTTTTTTTTCCTATTGAGTTTTTGTTTGCCTGTTGACAGAGTTGAGGATTGAAGCTGAATGAGTAAAGGTGGGTAGTCTAATGGTTGGAGACATTTGAAGTGAGAGTTGTTATTTCGCCATCTGTTTTACGTCTCTACGTTATTGACATTGACTTCTTTATTTTTGGCAATTCTAATTTTATTTTTAAGAATGAAAAGGATGAGAAATTTTATCTGGTGGTTGCATGCACAGTGGATTGTTCAAATACAAACTCGAACATGTATAATGCGTAATAAAAATTGATATGGGAGGTAGATTTTTTAATTGGGTTTGTTTGCAGTTATAATATTTGCTGAGGATTTTCAATCTTTCTTGGTATTATGTTTAATATTTTTCTTAGATTTTCATTGGTTTTACCCTTATCTTTAATATTAAATTAATCATATTCACGTGCAATGCACGTGTATAATAACTAGTATATATATACTAGTACTTGAAGGTACAATATAATACCAAAAATTAAGCATTGATCTTATAATATTTATATTTTAAATTATTTTTTTAATTACAAAATTAATGTATAGAAAATAGGGAGGTAATTATGAATTAGTCAGGTTATTTTTATTGGAAAATGTATTGACTGAATTATCTAATAATGAAGTTATAATTGAAAATATAGAGGTAATTAGAGAATATGAAGTTTTTGAATAAAGTTTTTAAATAAATTTTATACCGTTAGATGAAATTAGATGAAGATTGAATTAATTCTAACTGTTATTTTGCTTTTATAATTGTACAATTCAAATTATTAGCTATAATATTAAATAGATAATATTATATGTGCATAGATACTAATATATATATTCATGGTTAAGTTTAAAATAAGAAAATAACTCTGAATAAAGAAAGATAAAGACGCAAACCGAATGTCTTTTAAAATATACTTTAAAATGTAAAAAAACAGTAAAAATACTCAAGAAAAGCATTATTAAATAATTTTTAAGTGGTCTTACTTTGGGGTAAATTTCAAATCAATATATAACAAAAAAAATAGTATAATGATAACAAACAAGTATTGACACGTCATTTTGTATAGGAGATAATGCAATGATTAATGAATTTTATTTTTTGGAAAAATTTTAGTCACACTTTTTTTTAATTTATCATATCTTAAAAGACACCCTATCTATTATTTAAAATATCACAGATACTCTTTTTAGTTTATATTTAAATATCATTGATACTCCTACCACTAAACCACATTTTCTAACAAAAAAAAAATCATCTAAAATACTAAAATTTTTCCTATATAAACTCCAAACATTTTTTCTACATAAATTTTGATTAAAATTTAAGTCGATTAAAATTTATTTTTTTACATATTAAATTTTAAATTGATTACAATTGATGATGAACAAAAATGTTTTGCACACCACCTGTCAAGTGTGAGTAATAAATGCAGTAATTAAAAGTAAAGAGAGTTGGAGGAGACGAGATTTATAGTGGTTCGGTCAATATGACCTACATCCACTTTTAAATGACTTTAATCGTCTCGTACTTTATTAATTCATGGGTGCAAGGAACAAAGTGTACAAGTTTAAAGAGAGAGAGAGAGAAGAGAGTCGTGCTCAACAGAGTGAGATATGCCCCCCAAGTGTTGATGGGATTTACAATTTATACTCGTCCTCCTAACAGGTTTAAGCAAGATATTAATATGTAGTTGACTAGTTTGTTAGATCTGGCGAACTCTTTTTAATGTGCGAGAGGCAGTTACGTGTTTTTTTATGAGATTCGGTCAAAAGATGAGGTGGGGTGTTGATCATCTCTAAGGTGGCGAGGATATGGTTTTGGATGACCTTGCTTGCTCCCTTTTGATATAGCTCCTTGACCTTGATGAACTTGTCTGGGTGCAGACTCCTTTGCGCTTGACTTGCTAGACCTCTTGGAGTTGGGTCCTTCGGCTTATAACATGAGTTGGGCCTTGGATTTGACTCATCAACAATTTTTTTTTTTTATATTAAAGCTAGTAATTGTCCGTGCTTGAAGGCATGATGTTATTCGTATAATAGTTACAAATATTTGTCTATAAATAAATATAAAATAAAATACAACATTTTAGTAAACGACAAAAAAAATGAGTCTGTTAATATTTTTTTCAATATCAATCTACATGCATAACATATATAAATACAAATTGTTACGCCACGAAAATTATGTTATAACTATTAAAATATAATAATTCAAACATAAGAAAAAATATATCAGTTGACAACATTAAATGTTCTGTTTTTAATTCAAAATTCACGATTTCAATATTCATAATCAATTTTATCTAAATAATAATATAATTCATAACTAATATAATAAAAATTACAACAATACTCCCACAAATAAACTAAATCTATAGATATTGTCAAATGACCAAATATAACAATCAGAAATTCAACCAATTCTTAAAAGATACCTCTTGAAAAAAAATATTAAATAAAATATTTTAATATTAGTACTCACCTTTCCCCTGAACAAAATAACATATTGAGCAAAAGTCAATGAACAGTGACAAGTCTTAATATCAAACCATATTACCAATGCCAAAGAATTAAATCTTACCTTGCACTTGAACAATATATATACTTTAGCAGCGCCAAATCACCCCCAATACAATGAATTTTAAGCGACAATAATCTAATTCATTGAACTCTCAAACTCAAATTACAAAAAATTTGTCCACCCAAAACCAATACTGTTATAAACAAAAGAAATGATATAATATCAATAGATGAAAAATAAGTGAAATGGCTACGGTATACGAAAATTAGCTTATAATTATCTCAATGACAACAAAAACTCACCATAAAACTTCAGCGTGGTTTTTTAAATAAAAAAAAACAGTACAATAACACCCCAATATATATATATATATATATATCAAGGAAAACAGTACAATAAATAGGAAAAACACTTAAAATCTTGTGGTTTAAAATGTCCAACTACGGACCAATATAATATTGTGGTAGACAAAAACACTCGGTCTTCCACACTAAGCTAACATGCTGCTTTAAAAAATGACAAATATATGTAGGTGAAGTTGTTTATGTTGGTGAATTAGATTGAGAAAGTCAACGCAGTAGCTTCAGCGGCATGCAGAATATTGGGCGAATAGCTCTGTGAAATGCGATTTTTGGCTCCTCTAGCCCAGATCATTTGAAGTATCCACATTCCCCATTTTCTCACAAAAAAAAAGAGCCAAAAGAGGGGAGGTCTTAGGCTCGACTCAATTGATACCAGAACACAAAGATCCTACATAGGTCTTATTGTTTGCTTATTTATTTTTGTTAAAAATTATGTATGTGTATTATTGAAGGACTACATGTCTGTGTTAGGTACTAACAATTACATGTCTGTGTGATTTGAGCGAGGATGATCATCATTAAGAAAAAAAAAAAAAAAAAGAACATGTCTGCTAACAATATGGGCCAAAACACGTCTCTCCAAGTAAAAAAAAATATAATCTCAAAAAAAAGTAAAAAAATATATATATATATATATATATATACCCATTCAGATTTTCAAATAATAAAGACTATTCATAATAGCCAAAAATCATAAGGACGAAATTAAATATATTAGACCCAATTCAAAATTGTCAAAACCCCCAATTTGGCAAGAGGGTGAGACCGATGGAGAGAGGGTGGCTTTGGGGGAGCAAATAGCTTGAGGGAAGGAAGACATACTTGGGGAAAAGGAGATAGCAACGACTGAAGGGAGAGAGACCCAAACAGGCAAGGAGGGAGAGCATGCGAAACAGTTGAAGGATTCTTGACTCCGATTTTGGGAAGTGATTAGAGCATAAATTGGGTGGGTTTTTTTTCTGAGATTTGCATCAAGTTTGTAAAGACAATTTTATGGGATCTTGAGTATGATTTTGGGAAGTTATGAGTTGGGTGGGGAATTAGGAAATGTAATTTAGAGATAGGGAAAAGGGGAGAGAAACAGTAGCTCTGCAGAAGCAAAAAAGTGTGAAATAAATTAGGCAATGATTTTCATAGAGAGAAAAAGAGAGTGAGAAACCGCAGATATTAGAAAAATTAGGCTGGTCAGTTAATGAAAGTAAATATTTTAGGCCATAAATTTTGGAAAATAAATTTTTTAATTCATTATGCTAAATGTGGTATGTTGGATCAAATTGATGTGACACGTCAATAACTCTAGACCATTTAAAATAACATCGTTCGTTGGATAATGTCTTTTTTAGTTATTAAATTATCTAGGCTGTTTTTTGTCTTTAAATTCAAAATCGTAGTACTTTATTTTATAGATTTGAGCTGATTAAATTTTTTTTTTATGTATTAAAATTATTTTTTTACATATTAAAATTTGAGTGATTTGAGTTCAACCTGAACTGTTAGTGCTGATTAAAATATATTTTTTACTTATTAAAATTTATACTAATTAAAATTCAATTCAAGTTGATTAAATTTCGTTTTTTACGTATTAAAATTTGAGTCGACAAAAATTGATAGCCCTATTTGAAAGTATGGTGTATTGTGAATGATTTTGAGAAATATGTTAGTAGTTATTGAATGAATTTAATTTAGATCGTTGAATAAATTTATTCTATTTTATATTATAGATTTAGACGATTACTAGAGTTAGACAATACATTGGCCCAATGTCTAACTTTGAACGTTAAATTGACTAAATTAAAATTCTGGAGAATAAAGTATACAGGTGATTAGTGCAGTTTTTAAGCAATTATGAATCAATAATAGGTCCACAAATTATATTCCATAGTCTGCAGGTGCACTGAATCCTTCCTTCCTTCCCCCAGCAAAGAAACCCTAAATAAACCCTAGTTATGTAATGCTCGTCCCCTATTCTCTCTGGCTGCTCCGGGATAACCATTGAGAGAGAGAGAGAGAAAGAAGTAACTTCTGACCCTAATGGCGCTCTACCTGTTGTATGAGTCAGCGTCTGGGTATGCTCTGTTTCTGGCTCACAGCCTCGACGAAATCGGACAGAACACAGAGGCAGTTCGGAATTCAGTCTCCGATCTCAACCGATTCGGCAAAGTCGTAAAGCTCGTAGCATTTAACCCTTTTGAGTCTGCTCTCGATGCTCTCAATCAATGCAATGCGGTCTCCGAAGGTAAGCGCTCTAACCCATACTCTGTCTCCTCCACATTATATGTAGTTTGAAACGACTCGATGGTCCTTTGTTATGGTTGTTGGTTTCATTGAGGAAACAGTATGGGTGGTTTTGCCCTAATCAGTCATGCTAGTGTTTGGTAGTATTTGTGTTTTCATGTGCTGGTGCCTTTTTGAAGTTTGAAGGAAAAATGCTTTGAAAAACATGTAAAGTCCTCCCAAAATCTCTCGAGGGATTGTTTGAGCTGCTTTATTATTATGTTTGTGTTTTTTGTGTTTCACTCTATGGTTCGTTGTTGGAAAAATGTGGAAATGTTCTGTTCATTGAGAGTCGAGGAAACTAAGGCTCCGTTTCATCCATGGATTTAGGGAGTGAAAATGGTTAATTTAATCAATAGATCACTTTGTTTTTTAAAAATTTTGACGGGGAATCATGAAAAAAGAAAAGCAAAAAATGTTTAGCTTACTTTATAGTGTTTTTTTTCCAGGAAATGATCTCCTTCACAATTTTTTATTTATTCTCCTAAAATCCATACAGCTAATGGATCATAACTACTTATTGGAAAAATGGAGCGAAAAACTTGTTTAACAAAGTTTTGTTCTTAATAGAGGCAGGTAGCTACAGTCCTAGAACCAAAACAAGATTGAACATGGTATTTGAAAGATTGAGTTTGTTCTGCAATAAAAAAAGGAGGCTTGATTTTATCATATAAATGTTGTTTAGGAACACCTTTTTGTGTTCTAAACCTGGTTTTAATTGTATTGTCTGATTTATCTGTTTCATGCTTTACTGCGTGCTATGCATATGATGTATTTATTCATAACAATTTTGAGTATCTAAGTGCCCAGCAATGAGCAATGAGGTGTTTCACACCTTATGGTAGTTGATGTAACCAAGGAAAGGGTAGCAACCAACTAAAGAAAGAAAATATAAAATAAATTCAAATGTTCTCTGTTCCCAAAAAAGTAAAAGTTTCCACATTTTGTAAGAATTCTAAGATTTACATTTATTTGTATCATGATCATTTTTCTTATCCTCTATTTGCTTGTTTGCTTTAGTTGAGGGGACATATTGGGAGCATATGATGGTGTGTTATATGTATATTAGTTGAATTTCGATTTCAGGCCATATGACCGATGAGTTGAGGAACTTTTTGGAGCTTAGTCTACCAAAAGTCAAGGAAGGTAAGAAGCCTAAGTTCAGTTTAGGAGTGGCAGAGCCAAAGCTTGGATCACATGTTAATGAAATAACAAAGATCCCCTGTCAAAGTGGTGAGTTTGTACTTGAGTTTCTTCGTGGTGTGCGCTTGCATTTCGATCGGTTCATTGAGAACCTGAAGGTTTGCATTTCTCTAGCTCATTTATTTTCAATCTCTCTTCTCTAGTTTGTATTACCTTGAAAAATGTATTGTGTATTATGAAACTCATCTAACAGTGACCCCTTTTTCTCCTTTCAAAACTTTTGTAGTCTGGTGACTTGGAGAAAGCCCAACTTGGTCTGGGCCACAGTTACAGCAGGGCAAAAGTCAAGTTTAATGTTAACAGGGTTGATAACATGGTTATTCAGGCAATCTTCCTTCTCGATACTCTTGATAAAGACATCAATTCATTCTCCATGAGAGTCAGGTTAGCTCTATCTGTCTCTGTCTTTGATCTATTTATATGTAGATTTATCATCAACATCAGGATTCCGTCTGTTATAGAACCAAAGTTGAAGTGGTGAGAATATGTCACCCTCTTTGTTTGTGTGCATTTTTATGCATGTGTGTTTTTCTTTTTTTGGGGGGGAGGGGGGAGGAATGGAGGGAGAGAGAAAGGTTGCGTGTGTTGGTTGGTATGGCTGAAGTTTTGGTATTCATGCTATTATAGGTCCTGGTTTTTAGACTAGAAACTTTTCTGGTGTTGTTCTCTGATCTAATACTTCTCGCAGAGAATGGTACTCTTGGCATTTCCCTGAATTAGCAAAGATTGTCAATGACAACTATCTTTATGCGAAAGTTGCAAAACATGTGGAGGACAAGTCACAGTTGTCTGAAGATAAGATACCGGGCTTGACAGACATACTTGGTGATGAAGATAAGGCAAAAGAAATTGTAGAAGCTGCCAAAGCATCCATGGGTATATTTTTCTCAAACTTACCTTTCTGGTGAGCCCCTATCCCATTTTTATTCACCTGGAATTATGGTAATTTTTTTCAGGACAGGATTTGTCCCTGATTGACTTGATCAATGTCAAGCAATTCGCACAAAGGGTAATGGACCTTGCAGAGTATAGGAAAAAGCTCTATGATTATCTGGTCGCTAAAATGAATGACATAGCACCCAATTTGGCTGCACTGATTGGTGAAGTTGTTGGAGCTCGTTTGATTTCTCATGCTGGTAGTCTCACCAACCTGGCAAAATGCCCTTCTTCTACCCTTCAGATCCTTGGTGCAGAGAAGGCGCTCTTCAGGTGTTCTATTTTACTTGATGTTCTCATACTTGATAGAACTGTGCACATTCTTTTTCTTCATACAATTGTCTATTATTGTTGGTCAAATACAGTACTGGTGTAACAGTTCTCTGGCCATTGTCGAGCTTGATTCGACATTTGTCAGAGATCCACCTCACATCAAGCAATCATGAGAGCTGTATTTATCAATGACTTTTTGGTACCACTTTTATTTATGTTTTAAAACACTTATATGTTGTATTCGTTTTAGGGCATTGAAAACTCGAGGGAACACGCCAAAGTATGGTCTTATATTTCATTCATCTTTTATTGGACGGGCATCTGCTCGAAACAAAGGTCGAATGGCCCGTTATCTTGCAAATAAGTGCTCAATTGCTTCTCGCATCGACTGTTTCTTGGGTATGTCTGTAATTGTTATACAAATAAACATTATTTGTGTTTATCTCAGTACGTGCATATTAGCAATTTGTTGTATTAACTGTAGCCTATCTTCTGTGAGCAGAGAAAAATACCACTTCTTTTGGGGAGAAGCTTCGTGAACAGGTTGAGGAGCGACTTGACTTTTATGACAAGGGGGTTGCACCTCGTAAAAACATCGATGTGATGAAAGCTGCCATTGAGAATTCGCAAAACAAAGGTCGGTGAGGGATTGATTGTTGTGCAGTTATTTACATCTAGTGGAAATTTGAATCTTTCAATACTACAGGATTTGTTGCCTAAAAAAGAGGAAACTTATTTGGGAACTAAGAAAGATGAGTAATCCATGGTATGAAAACAATTATGTCTTTAAAGCAATACTAAAGAAGTATTTTTTACAGTACAGAAAAATTTTGACTTGTATTGTGGACTGGGATGCCGTCTCTGAGTCTACTGCCATTAGAGTTGTATTCAGAGTCTTTCTTTGTTATTGTCCAGGAATTATTCCATTGTGACACAGGTACTTTTCATGGCTATAGAGTTGTTAAAATGTTTGACTATTGTATGGATGCCTTTCTATGTATATGCAATTGTACATTATATACTATATCCAAATCTCAGTTTGTAATGATCGCGAGGATCCAATGAGGCTGGCTCGACACATTGAGAACCTCTCGATGTAATTCCTATTGACATATGTTGTCATTGTATGGTTGATGGTGTTTCTGAAGATATTTCCTTATTCAGTCTATGATTTATTTACGTTTTACTTATTTTTTGAACCTGGCTATGATTTCATGCTATTACAGAAATGGATGTGGATGAAGCACCAACGGAACCTTCAGCAAGGAAAAGCAAGAAAAAGAAATCCAAACATGAGGCTGCAGAAGATGGTGAACCAATGGCAGAGGATAAACCAACTGCTGTTCCAAATGGAGATGCTTCTGACGAACCTAGAACTGAAAAGAAGAAGAAAAAGGAGAAGCGAAAATTGGAAATGGAGCTAGAGCGTGAAAAGGATCACCCCACGGGAAACACAAATGGTGTTAACGGGTTTTCTACAGAAGAGGGAACGGCCAAAAAGAAGAAAAAGAAGAACAAGGTTGTAGAAGTAGAGGTTCTTCCAGCTGCTAGTGAAGGCAAGAAGAAAAAGAAGAAGAAATCAAAAGGCGACGATGATGAGTGAGGTTTGTAATGTATGATCCATCTGATGTTCGGGTAGTCATGATATGTGTGGTTGATTCTATACTGTTTTGATGTACTCAATGCGACAAAAAGGGTCCTGCCTGTAATCTAATATGCTTTACATACACTGGCCCTCCAGTTCTTATTGGTCATATGTATCATGATCAAAATTATGTTTTTAAGAATTTAATTTATTACCAGATGCCTATCGTAATTGAATTTGATTTTGATTTCTTAATTCCATGGTGTTTGGCCTCTCATTTTGAGTATGGTATTGTTAGCACTTGTTCGTGTGTGTGAATGGTTAGTTGAACTGAAAGTCACCCACTGTAGTTCCTGACTCGTGAAATTATCAAAAACATGTGATTTTATTTTGCAAATGATCTTTCTTTGAGCTGATCTAAGCTTTTTAGTTTATCGGTATTCAGATATTGTACATATGTATTCAGACACTGCATGGTTGTAATTTTCATATTGTGCCCTTTATTTCTGGTATTTGAAATTGTATATGTGATGTAAAGCACAGACTTCCAAAGGGTACGCTATCTAGAAAAGTTGCCCGGGCTGTTCACTTTCACTTGGTCCCTGGTATCTTGAAACCTCTTGGCTTGCGGTGGTGTGAGTGGAAACGTCTGAAAGGTTTCCTGTTTGGCTTTCCGTGCTAGACCATTCCCAGTGGAAGCTCTTAGGCTGCACCATTGTGTTACCTAATGGACGTAGATGAGCTAACAGGGTCCTCGCCACCCGCACACTCTCGCTTAAGTTGGTTTGGGTTCTTCACCAGTTGTTTAAAGGCTGTCCTCTTTTGGGAGAAATGGCACTTGCGCGAGATCTTATTACGTGCACTTTTTCGGAGAGTTACTAAACAAAACAAAATAGAATAGAAGGGAAGAAAGCTCACTTTGAGGGAGGTAGAAATCTGTGGTTCAATTCAAAGAGACTCCCACCTCTAAAACTTTCATAGGGAAGTTCATTCTAGAGAATAACTTTTTTATTTTATTTTATTGATAATTCATTCAGAGTTGATTTTTTTAGGTGAGAAACAGAAGTTTGAAAAATGAAATAAAAAAATCATAGTTGAAAAAGCTCTTAAAACTGTTTCCAAAAGAGTCGATTTCTTAGAAATTCTTGAATAAACTCTATTTTTTAACTTTTTTTTAGTGCTAATAAAAATTTATTTTTGCCCAAAAAATTGATGAAAAAGTTGTTCAATAAGTCTGGGTCCAAACAGGCAAGTCTTCCTTTTCTCTGAAACAAAAAAAATTGAGATTTTAAGTCAACTTCAAGCAGATTCAATATAATCTTATAATTACCAAACCTCATCCTCATGACTCTACTACTTAGATGAATTCTTAGCAAACTACTAATTACTACTCTAACAAGTTTTAAAGTTTAAGGGTTTGATTAAGGGTGTGTTTGTTAATCCAAATTTAGCACTTAAAATGAATGTATTCGATACTTATTAATTAAGCTCGTTTGATAACAAAATTTAAATTCTCGTAATATGTTAACTGCTACTTAAAAATATGCTACAATATTAAGTATGAGATCCCTTACTTAATTCTGAAAGCTGAAAGCGCTCAACACAACCATCTTTAATAATATTTATAATATGACAATTATATCCCAAAATATTTTACAATCCCATTAAAACTCTAATTAGTCTTATTTTCAAAACCCCTAATCTATCTATCCTTCTTGCAAATCTCTTCTTTAGCGGGTAACAGATAAATCTTCTTCCTTGTCTTCTTATTCTTCTTCTGCTTCCCTTGTCTTCTTATTCTTCTTCTCTTTCTCGTCTTCTGCAACAAAAATATACATAATTAATAATTATACACACATACACATGCACTGTACACACACATAGTTACACACACAGAGATATTAGTTATTGTTCTTTTTTTAATTTGATAAGATTTTATTGTTCACTTATTATATTATTTAGATATTATTTATTTATTTATTTTAATCAGATGTTTGTTAAATGTAGACTATAATATAATAATAGTGATTATGATTTATATTATGATATATTTTATAAAAAATTTAAATTAAAGAGTAGAAGAGTAAAAATGAAAATTAATTTTTTTTTCAGACATCAACTATTTGTAGTTATCATACAGTTTAGTTTAATTCAGTATTTAAATTTAAGTGAATACCAAACAACCCACAAATTCAGTATTTAGCTTGCAGCTTTTAGATTTAAACTTTCAATTTTCAGATTTTAATTTTCAATTTTATCAAACACCACCTAACTTTAAAGCTAAAAAAAATATGATTTTAATTTCACCCCCCCCCAAAAAAAAAAAAAAAAAATTCAATGGCATAAAATGTCCCCACTCCCTACCAGGTGAAGCCCCTCCGGTAGATGATAGGGAAATTTTTAGTTGAATGCCTTCAATATGAAGTAATCTTTATTGATGTTTGAAAAATAATGAAATAATGTGCCTTTTTGAGGGAATTACCTCAAACAAGGTGTGCAAGCAAAGAATCAGAAAAGTGTCATGCCCCCATACAAAGTAATTTAGACATATGCATGTGTGATTTTCGTATTATTAGATTGAGCAATTCTATATGGATCTATATTGAGAATTTAAGCAAAAAATTAATTCATTCTAGTCATTAGATTGAATGTGAATTATATAAATAAATAAAATCCACTTTTAATCCAACGACTATGATTGATTAAATTTTCATATTAAATACAACGAGGATTTTCTTATTAGATTATGATACCACTTTATCATAAATGATGATATATTACCATTGTAATGAATATTTTACTTGGCAACAAAGGACTTGTTTTGTTGCCGTATTAAAAATGGATGCATTAGATAAAATAATACAGTCTAATATAATACAGATGTATTAAAGACAATGTTAAACATGCTATTAAAATAATAAGTAATTTTATTTGATATTTGACAATACACAATATAAGCATTGAATAGTCATTATTTAATCCACATGGTTGTTTAGTTAGAAAATTATTTAATTGTATTAATTTTGAATTAACAAAATACCTTCAATCAGTGTTTGTTACATTGATGACAACTTGATTTTATCACTTTGAGGATTATAATAGTAAATGTGAAGAATAATACGTTTGAGTTGGATTATAATATCACCCCCTTTTGTGGTATTAAAAAACCTCTATAATACAAGTTTATAGTATAAAAAATATACGTTTTTGAAATTAATACGGTATCAAATTTGCTAACGAAACAAAGTATTATGTCCGATTAAATAAAAAATAATACAATCTAATATTCAATCCCCTCGTAATACGCCGACCAAACGAGCCAAAAGAGTGTTTGTGATGGCATTTAAGGTGGTGTTTTTTGGCATTAGGAGAAAGTTTGTGGTAGTGGGGTGCAAATTTTTATTTTTGTGGGGGTGGGAGGGGTATTCAACAATGGGGTAGGTAGGGGATTTGGGAAAAACAAATTTTCTTTTAATTCCTTTCTTGACAAATCATTTATCATTAATAAATAAATAAAAAATTGTATATAATATGTCTCACCTGAATTTATTTTAATGTGATAAAAATGGCGGCTACATCATCAGTTAATTTGGAGGACATTCCCTCTGTTGATCTCATGACGGAGCTTCTTCGTCGCATGAAGTGCTCCACCAAACCTAACAAACGAATCATTCTCGTCGGTATATCCAGATGAACTCTATTAGTCTTGATTTTTTTTTTTTTTGTGAGAAATTCTATTATTTTTTAGCTCAGATCCGAGAATTTGATGTTCTGTGATGAAGATATTGGCGCAATTAGGGTGTAGAGTAACGGTTTTAAGGTTCTTCTTACTTCAGTGAAATTTGTTGTTCCATGACTGCCATTTTATATTCTACATTCTTAAACGTAGTGTGAGGTGACGGTTGTGGTAATGTAGGTCCTGGTACTAGGGGTTCTTGGATTATTAACACCCTGCTTGTGTCAATGGAACTATCTTTGAGGACAAGTTTTTCTCACGGCAAAAAAAGGTTGAATTTTGAGCTTTTGCTGGATTTTGTATTTGTAAGTTAACTAAATTGTTGTGTTCAACATTGGAAACCTGAAGATTCACTTTGCATTTGTATAATCCACTGAGATAAATGAATCCTCTATGAGAAACAGCAGAGATTTGGTTAAACTTTTTGAGGAATTTATTTCCATTTTTGTGCTGTTATAGTTGGGGGTGGGTGGTAGCCATGTCATATGGAGATTATTGCTGACCCCTTATCTGGAGATTAGCTGCAGCAGGCTTTATAATACTTCCTGGGAACGAGCATATCCTGGACATAGTCTGCCCTTTGCTTCAGTAAAGCCAAGTATCTTCTTCTGGTCTTACCCCAATAGTTAAGCCCTAATCTACGAGCTTTCTACCGCCATAGTTTATTAGATAATACTCATGGACTCTGTTTCAATTTGTATAACATTGGGAAGGTTTTGTTTGGTGGTCTATTTGAGTGTTTCTCTCAACTTCAAATGTGTATTTGTCAGGACCACCTGGGTCAGGAAAAGGTACACAATCACCAATTATTAAGGATGAGTACTGCTTGTGCCACCTGGCTACTGGTGACATGCTGAGAGCTGCTATTGCTGCTAAATCCCCTCTTGGGATTAAGGTTATGGCTTTGGACAAGGTAAATTTCATGTTTTATGTTTTGTGCAACACTTGCATGACAGCCAACTTGCTCTTTTGTAACAGTAAATTGTTCCTTTAATAATAACTCCTCAGGGAGAACTTGTTTCCGATGATTTGGTTGCTGGGATAATAGATGAAGCATTAAAGAAGCCATCATGTCAAAAAGGTTTCATTCTTGATGGATTTCCAAGGACTGTTGTCCAAGCACAAATGGTATTGGTTTACCTGGCTTCTGGATATTAGTTTTTTGTCTTCATGTTTTAAATAGTCTTTTCCTTGTTTTTGAATTTGTATAATATATGTTGAACCTTGTCATGGTATGTCTTTTTCAGCTTGATGAGATGCTTGAAAGGCGTGGAGTTAAAGTTGACAAGGTGCTCAACTTTGCAATTGATGATGCGGTCTTGGAGGAGAGGATTACTGGTCGCTGGATACACCCTGCTAGCAGCAGGACCTATCACACAAATTTTGCACCTCCTAAAGTTCCTGGTGCTGATGATGTAAGGCTGTGTGAATCAATCACATTTGCCCTTACTTTATTTGTTTATAAAAATGTTAATGCTAGCTAAAATCTTATATCCAGCATGCCATAGCTTTAGTACGCTAGGAAATCCAATGAATGCAGCCTAAACAACTGCAATATGTAGCAGTATAAACAATATGTGTATTGGAATTCCAGTATGCTTGTATCAGGAGTTAAGCTTCCATTACATGTATGGGTGCTGTAAGAAATTAATTATCTTATTGCTCTGGCTAATTCTCTCAGCATCTCTGTCATCTACTGCGCAATGCACACATATTTTTGTTTTATGCAAATGACAGATGAGTTGATGCTAATGAACTCTCCCTCCCTTCTCTCCTGGTGTTTTAACTTTTCTGAAGGTCACTGGTGAACCTTTGATTCAACGTGAAGATGATACTCCAGCTGTTCTAAAATCAAGGCTAGAGGCCTTTCATAAACAGACTGAGCCAGTATGCTTTTCTTTCTTCGTTTCACTTGCTCTGAGACGTAGTTTGATTTGAGATTATTTGTTGAGATATAAAACGCGATTTAAGTTTTGCTTTCTTCATTACTGCTGTCTTATACACATTCATTTTTTTCTTCCTTTTTTTTCTAATTGTACTCATCATTGAAAGTTCCTTTGGATCTTCTTCTGCATGTCTACGGGGAGGGCCTCACTGTTGCATTATGGGATTTGTTTATCTGACTGGACTTGAGTTTATTAATGTCTTAGGAAGAAACCGTATTATTTCACTTTTTGGGGAGATTATCATGGTGCATTTAAACTCGTGAGATTGATAGAAATCTAAAATGAACAATCCGAGTTAGGCCAAAACCCAGGCATAGGGGTCGGTGTGGCTGGATAAGACTAAATAATGTAGAACATAATATTTGTGAGGCTAGACATTTCAATATATATATGTTGTCGCACCTTATGGGGATCATGCAATCTTTGGAGTTGTAGGATATTTAAATGAGTTATTAGTTAGTGGAGGGGTGGTTATGCCACATGGTGAAATGTCATTGGATTGAATGCATTAAAGTAAATCAAAATTATAAGAATTAAAAGAATAGGGAGGAAAATCTCAAGGTCTCTCACTCCTAATTTGTTTCCACACCCCCCCCCCCCCGGGGGGCCGATAAGTAATAGGCCAGTATGGAAATAAATTGAGTAAGATGAACTCTTAAGGCGTAAATGTAATCATTTTGGTTATCTTGCATCAATCCATAAAGAAGAGGACACGTAACCCTTTAGGAATTGAAGAGTGATGAGTGAACGTAGAAAATGCTTCTGCACTTCTAATCAGAGAGATATGATGACATGTTTTACATATTTAGCCAATTAAAGATATTCGAAAAACATTAATCTCTGTATAAGTGAAAGAAAATTACTTTGGTCTGAAGTAGAAATGGGAATAAACTTTCTATAGCTATCATTATCTACACCAGAATTCAAACTATATTTCAAATCTTCCTTTCTCTCATGTTTCTGCTGATCAGCCTGGTCTGTCACCAATGGAAGCTTAAGCGTCTGACCAACCAAAATATCCTCTGAAGGGTCAGAAATGTCTAGAACGAAGCTATCACCTGGAAAAACAAAGCTTAATTGATATCAACACCAAAGAAATACAAAATGCATCTATATTAAGAAGTTATATTCAGGAAGGGAAAAGCAATAGGCCACGCTATATACTATGAGTCAATTGTGGAGTTGTAGATGGAAGCCTTTGTTTATAAGCAAATCTATGTTGAAATTTTATTTTATTTTTGGCTAATGGCAAAGAGTGGGAAGGGAAAGAAACGGCAGTTACGGGCTATAACTTGAAGTGACTGCAATATGAGGAAGCAAACAATGTTTTGAATTGGGGTAAGATGAGAGAAGATGCCCAAGATTGGGAGACCACATTCGACAAAGACCAGAAACTCCTGCCTTTGTGACTGGAAATTTTTTTGGTGGTTTTTTACTAACGACAGATACTTGTAATTAAAGCACTTTGAAAATTATAAAAACTAAACGACAAAAAGCAAGAGGAGAAACACCCAATCAATATAGCTGATACAACAGATTGTGCGTTGGTCATGAAGGCCAAGTGGCATCGTGTTGTCATGCTTAGGTGCTTCAAAATGTTGTGGTTTGGTGGGTCGGGTGGATGTACTACTTGGGGTTGACAATCAAGGGGGAACAGGTCCCTGCAATTGAGTATAGTTGGGGATCCATAACGAGGTTATTTTGACTGTATCACTGCCCTAGGTTACATACTATGTTCTCTAATTGACTCACTCTCACGATGAGGGGTTTTGAGAAGAAAGGAACATGGGATACATGTCACTATCCCATTGAAGCCTTCCACATGTGTAGGCCACACATGAGGTTTGGCTATTGTACCCTTCCCCTCGTTTCTCACATGGGTGATCCTTTTCCAAGGGCCGGGGGCACATAAGAAAATATCGGTGGTCACATTCCTAAAGGATTTGCATCCTTGGCTTCAGGGAGTAGATGTGAACTTCATGTTAACATCCTTTTAGATGTTACGGGAAAGGGCTGTTGTGTGAAATCCTGGTCTGGCAGCACTAATTTAAATTCTGACAATTAATATACTGGCAAGATGTCTTAGTTGGTGCCATATTTATACTTGCCTTGTGCCCTTTTCTATGCATCTTACCATTTCTGGAAATGTTGCTTTCATGGTTCATTCAACTTTTTTTCCCCATCATATTTTTGTATTCCATTAGTTTATTCGGAGAGAGAATTCCATTAAATTTGTGACAATGTCCTGAACAAGTGTTCCTTCAATTTGATATGCAGGTAATTGACTATTATAACAAGAAGAATATTGTTACAAACATTATTGCAGAGAAACCCCCACAGGAGGTTACAGCTGATGTTCAAAAGGTACTCTCCTCGTGAAAGGGAGGCGGTTTTCCATTTACTTGGCATAGAGTCTGGGAATTTTGGTCATATGTACTCTAATATATTGTTGGATCACTAACTACTCTTGCATTCTCTGACTGTAACTCTGTAAGCCCCAACATTTTTTTTTTAATTTATTACATGTGAACTGTAAGCGGCAGCTTCCCTCAATTTCTGATTAGCTAATGGTTTCTTGGAATTGCAATATTTAGTTATGAGCAATGCTATTTGGACTTAATTTGCTGAAATAATTTACTATGACTTTCGAATTTGCTGTGGAGACTATTAAATATGAGAACTTGGTGTGAATGCAATAGTTTCAATAAAATTACATTCTTGGCATTTTTTCAATGAAGCATTTATCGGGTGAAACACAGGCTCTCGCATGTTGATTGTGACGATTCATGATCACTCCCATGGATTGCCAAGTTCAATTTTGGCAATATAAATCAAATTTTCACCCTGTAAATCCTACTCCACGCTTCATTCGAAGTTCGACCCAATAAACTTTAGGGTAAGATTTTGAAATTCCCAAATGTCTAGCTGTAGATCTCTGTGCTCCAAGTCTTTCATCAAACAGCTTTCTGGGTCCTAAATCTGACGGAAATGGCATCACCGCAGTTGAGGGTCTAGCGCAATGGTTCCATCAGAATTCTAGATTGATTTCGAGGTAGTCTTCACTATTACCCTTTATATCAGTAAATATGATATGAATACTGAATATTTAGTGCACGACAATATACAATGACCAAAGGGTTTGTGTTTTAATTTAATGCCAGGACAATTAATCGAGTAAATATTCAGTGTAATTGAAAAAGGCCGTCAGGCGACTCCAAGAAAGGCGGCCATCAGCTCCACCAAGAAGTCAGGATCGATCACCTAATTGACCCATCAAATCAAAAATCTTCCATCAGAAGATTTAATAGAAGATTTAATCGAACGAGCTCAACATTCTTCCGATTAACCTTTCATTTCACATTCACACCTCAACATTCTTCCTTCATTTCACATTCACACCTCAACATTCTTCCGATTAACCTTCCATTTCACATTCACACCTGACGTAAATATTAGTGGTGTAATTGTTGTTTAAGTAAACAAAATGAATCTCATTTTTTTCACTTGTAAACTTAGTAATTTATCAACAGATGGTTTTTGATGTAATCGGTTTACTGAATTAATTCACTAGCCCAAAAACACTATACACAAAAAAAAACTGTTATTAGTTCACCAGGCCACAATCAAAACCGAGATCGGTTACAAAACTATCTATAATTATGAGTAATACAAATCCTAATCTAACAGAGGGTAGTTTTATGTGAAGAAAACCTTCGTCGCAGTGAATCCTCCCACATTCGTTTGCTTTGAAAAACCAAAAAGCAATTAACTAACAAGAAACCAAAAATAACAAAATCCCCCAGCCGAGCCAAACATTAAGGTTATTTCGCTTCGTTGATAGAGTGGAAATGCAGCAATTAAGCAAGTCTGGTCTGCAACAGCTGAATCCCAGAGAACCAACCTTCATAAGATACAACAATTGGATCAGGCGAAGAAAAACCTTTAGAACTAGGCATTGGTAGAGGGTATTCCCATAGAGAACACCCTTCCAAAAATTGGCGTATGCCGCTTTCTGCGGCGAACACACGGTATTCTTTAGTAAAAGGCGAAAGAATAGTTCGCTTTGTGTTCACCGCGCGGCTGCGTGATTTGATTGGAGTTTGGGCTTCTCATTTTATAGTCATTTTCTCTCTCAATTCTTTCTTCCGCAACCGATGTGGGAATAAGGTACGTTTCTGCTCCAACGCTCCAACAACAGCCAAGTCTCACACTCCTCTTCTTTAGTGTCTCTTGGCTTTCTCTCTGCCTTTATCCTCCCATTGGCCATGGTGTCGGTCACTCACCCAGTGGATCCAACGCCTCTTAATGCATCATAAAACCCAGTTTGATCCTCTTTAGATTAAGCTAGTTACATGTGGCTTCTGTGGTACACATTCCTAGAGATGGTAATGGGTCTGTTGGGTCTATACTAAAATTTGTTTAACATACATTTCTCATTTATATAGTTATATATAGACGAGTTTATATTGTGTCTTATAAATCACGTAAAAGTGTATATTGTGTCATTCTATTGATTAAACGAAATTTGATGATTTAATTTTATGTTGGATCGGATAAATCTATACTTCATAACTTTGCATTAATTTTGTATTAGCTTTATAAATCATGTTAAGAATTTGAATGTTTTGTGCATAACTTTAAAAGTTAAACATGATATTTATAGTTTAAATATTACATTAATTTTATATCAATTTCATATTGAATTGGCGAGTTACAATTACCAGCCCTGCACATACCCTTGAAAACGATCCTTACAGGCTAAATGTTGCCACTTGCCATTATATATTTGATCAAGTCCTCATGAAAAACCAGTATAGAACTAGAAATAAACCAGACCCAGCTCAATGAAATCAAGAATGCAAGCTCTCTTGCAACTTCTAAAATGGTTTCAGAGGTAACAACCTTTTAAGTTCCCTTCATAAATCTAGCAGCTATTACCAAGGACCCACTTCCATGTCCTGCAAAGAACACCATTGACATCGTGTTCGTGTTGTGGCAAAGACAAATTAAGAGCTGACGATCACCCAAGATAATAGAGCTCTCATGGAGTTTGTTGGTACATGTATTGTTATGAGCAGAAACAAAATCTAGGAAAAATGAAAGACAAACGATAGATCCAACTGATATAAACTAACTGGCTTGCAATCACACCACATTACAATGGTTCATCAAGCAGCCATGTGTGACATCAGAAATGTTTTCAAGTAGTTCGAAGCAGGAATAAAAGTGCGCAAATGTTTGACAGCATGAGGTATTAGCATTCCCATGTGAGATTAGGCGCAGAGACCTAAATGTCCACAGTAATCTTGGCATCAAGATACGAGAACTCTTGGAAGTAGGCCTTGAAATGCTCGTATGAATGCTTCACATCATCAACTGCACACATTTCTCTAATGCTGTGCATTGATAGTTGGGGGGCACCAACGTCAACAGTACGAATCCCTACACCACTAGCCAGAATGGGGCCAATGGTTGAACCACATGGCATGTCATTGCGAACCACAAAATCCTGCATCGCACAAATTGCTAGGAAATTATAAATTATTCTACTATGTCATCACCTTGAATATGCAAACAGTAGTGTCCCAATTTTATTCCTCAAAATAAACGTCCACTTTTTCTTTTTCTTTTTCACATTGTCTGCTCATGAGAACGGTGATCCGTGATTGATTAGATTTGATGAGAGCAATTTATGAATAGGAATTTATATAATACAGCAAGTCTAACCACCTCCCCTTTGTAGTACGCAGCAGTTGAAATTTTTTTTTTTTGCATATAGAGGATAATCTGTAGTATGTGGATGAGGTGCCTTGAATGTTTAATTGTGAAACCCCAAAAGAAAAAGCATTTGATATGACTTTTGCTCGAGTATGTTTTCGCTTGGTACAAAAAAATGGAAAAGGGCCTTCAAATGCTTTGCAAATAAAATAGAATAAATTGGATGGCTCTGAAATTTTGAACCACAACCAACTAAACAAAATCTTCCTTGTTATCACACTCATGAACTCCAGTATCATACGCAAACACATTAACTGGGTTAGGGAGATCTGTCACCTGAACAGGAAGCTTGTGCTTAGCTGCTATCTCCCGAAATATGAAGGAAGTGACAGCATTGGTGGCATAACGTTGATTCGCATTATGTTTGATCACAAGCCCCCCATGCAACTTGGGCTGATGGTTTTCTTCATGTTTGTCCTGAGAAGGAACCCCATATTATAAAAAGGTATGTATAACTGGAAACAGAGTTTAAGAATAACATACCATGTAGTTAGGATGTAAGGCATGTGCCATATCAGCAGATACCAGGAAACTCCTCTGAATTGCTTTCTCAAGTAACTGAATATAAATCATAGCATTGCAAAAGAAGAAAAAAGCAATCAAACGCCAACTAAAAACAATAACGACAGCAACAGATAAACAAATAAATAAGTGCTTATATTAAATAAGTGTTTGTGAAAGCTACTCATGCCACAAAATTCAGCAATTTGGTCTCCCGTGATGGCACAATTATTTATTTATTTTTATTTTTTTTGGGGGGGGGGGGGGGGCTGCCAATCTAAAGATCCCAGCTGAGAGCACTAGCCATTTGAAAGTACAATGACACCTTGACCACCACATAGGATTCCTTTGGAGGTTTCAGGAGAAAAGATGTAACGACATGAATTTCTTAGCACTACCATTTTTTGCTACTGTGATGCCAATTTTGCTTTTTATAGGTAGTAATAAAAGAGATCATAGCAGCAAACTTCTAGGGAATTTTCTTGTTCTTCTTTGTTTTTGTTTTTGTGGAAGGGAGGGGGGGGTGTTTACACCAAGCCGGTAATTATCACTTAGCTCATCTCTATAGGCAATTCTGTACTAATGCACTTAAAATATGCACTCCTCCAGTAAGAAGCAACAGAAATTAGTAAAGAAATTCACACTGTTTATCTTTCTTCACAAATGCAATTTTGGTTTATTTTGAGCTTGTCCATGTCAAGTAGTCTTGGCATATCCCTGGCAGCATTCAAGACACAAATTGAAACCAAAATTTTTCATATGCTATGCCACAGCTTCTGAACTGTAGCTACAAAATGCAATAAATTCTGAAGCTGAGTTGTTACAACTAAACTCTTCATCAAGAAATCAATCTATCTCTACTTAATTTGGATATTGGATTTTAGAATTTTAAAAATTGACTATGTTGTTCGAGAAACCCACCTTAAATGCCAAAACCATTGCTAATATTGCACTACAGGATTTGCTGAACCAATTTCAGAATAAAAAATATGAAACAAAAGAGAGTGCCTATTTATCTGAGTATCAATCAATCTGGTGATATTGTTGGCCTGAAAAATTGCAATTAGAAATCAATAATTTGTGAAATGAAAAAACTTGCTAAAGAAAAGGACGAAGTGTATATTTCATTTATTTTGCAGAAGTCATTCTTACGTTCAACAAATGGGAGAAGATGGAATTAGGAAAAACACACTGCAAGTTCACTTGCAAGAATTTTCAGAAGTTATGTCTGACAAACTTCTCAGTGGACATCATGAAGTCATTTCATGTGATAATGTCCACCATGTGTCTTAAAAACAGCATTCTACGAAAAAAAATTCTTACTTCATGATCAAAACAATATTGAAAATGCGAATCGACATGTTAGAAAATGTAACTAATCAAGACAATGCTAAACTAAATTTAAAGTGCAAAATGGATATGGAGAAATTGGTACCTTAGAATCTGAGCTGAAGGAACTTGTAGTTCGGGATAGAGCATCCAACATGGCAGGAGATCCAGCTCCTTGGGCTGAATTAGATCCAGCCTCCTCATGGTCAAACAAAGCCACCATTCTTACACCTGTCTCATCTCCGAGACTACTTTCAGAAGAAGTAGCATCTATCAATGCCTGAAATATAATCCATCATTGGAAAATGTGCTTTACCTTTTAAAACAATTCTCTCCCACACACACATGCAACACAGGTAATGGGAAGTATAACAAAAGCATTACGGTGATTTCAAGTTCAACTACAAGAAGCAGGCCACCAAGATGATTAAAGCCAACTTAGATGTTTCATAAAATCCAGGTTTATATGCACTTGGCACACTCATGACACAAGTTTTTTTTCAGGCTTGTCGCTTATTTCACTGACAAGTTTGGTTCAGTTAGTTTAACTCAGCTGCCTGTATGGTGACAGTGGTAAAACCACTGTTCCTCTTTGTTCAGGGGTGGGGAGTAGAGTTGGGTTGTTGGGAGGCCAGAATTCATAAAATTAGCATCAGTATACTAATATGTAACTGGGCTGCGGGACTTTATGAACATGTAATAATAAGACTACATGTAGGTAATAAGACTTTGATGTAGAGAAAGAGAGATCCAAATGATAGCAATAATTAATGTGCATACTACATGTAGATAATAGGACTTAATCCAAACTTCAAACTGGAGGCCAGATATTTTGGTTAGGTAATACTGAAAGGTGACACAATGACTTGACAGGATTGTGGGGCTGAATCCCAAAACACAACACAGATGTCAACCAACCCAGTAGCATCACAGAAGAGGTAGCCAAGTAATTCATTAGTGAATGTGAAGATACCTAGTTCAACTCAACCATACATTCTGCTCTGCCATGCTACTCCATACGTAGGTCACGCATCAAGCATCAAGCATCAAGTCAAACCCGGAAATTGCTGATTGAAGTTGTGAAGAGAATTGGAACTTTACAATATAAATTATTTCAAGACGCCGCATATTTTGTTTTTTAGCCTGATTAAGTATGAGAAGGCACCACTGAATATTGACAACAGAGCCAGTTAATATACTGTCAATAACTAGACTTTAGATATAGGAGACAAGTTTAGACCATGACACTACGTGTGTACGTCAAAAGAACCCCAGATTGCGTGATTGATAACTCCATTATTTCTATAACTTATGCCAGTCACACCAGAAATAAAGTTGCATCTGGAAGGTTCTCTAACAAATACTCTTATTAGCAAATAGATTGAGTGCAAAGGTTTCCTTTATCATGGCATGAGAAACAAGCACCATATATCCTACAGCACATTAAATTTTGGAAAAAAAGGTTGGTAAGTAATATATATAGCACTCTTCCTATGTACTTAATACTTGCACCCAAGGAAAGAAAGAATGCCCATAACCCCACGTTGTAACCGGATCTATCTGCTTTTAACACATCTAACAGCACATACCTTTAAAGAGCAAAATGACATGCAAAGATTATCAAGTCTTCCAGAGAAAATGAACTCCTTCATTGCACCAGCAACTATACTTGGCTGAGTATCGCATGCTTGCAACTCAAAATCACATATGTCCTGTGGTTCACAGCAAGCCTGATTTGCAAGAATCTAAAAGAAAGAGAAAAATTAGCACAATAATCACAATCGGATGAAACCCAAAATCTCCAATGTCTAAGCTGAATTTCCCTCGCAGTAGTAGCAATGTGTGTGTTTAGGAAATTTTTCTCTTAAGCGTGAACTCTGAACGAGAGAGTCAAAAATATAGAATAACAGGAAGGAAGCAATAAGTATTGACATCCTTAACTGCACAGTTCATTACCCGCAAAAGGAGGGGATGGTGCTTTTCGTTATCTTTCTTTCCATCAGTTGCAACTCCACTTTCAACAGGACCATTCTCAGCAGCCAGTTTATTTAGCTCGGCCTACCAAATTGAATCAGTCAAGTGCACCAGTGCAGAAAAGCAATATAAAAATGCAGATGAATCATGAATCTGTCTTATCAAACACCCTCCACCCCAAGGGGAAATAATTTGACAAAAACCAACACAACAGAAAAATTACCTTAATTGATGTCGCCAAGACTGGAACAAGATGATTATGTGTGTTCACCTTGAATGCATCCCTGACGTCCCTGTCCAACAGAGGCAAAACAAAGATGCTTCTTGAGCCATTCATGCAACTGATATCCCAAAACTACACCACTTGTCATCCACCAACTGTATTAATCACTTCTAAAATAGTAGTACCCGTCCAAGTGAATAGCCAGTGTTGGGATCCGCATTAAGGGCTCTTCAATCCTAATGAGTTCATGTGAGTAGGAATCAGAACCATCATCATTCTCTCTTCGTACTATTATTCTTCCAGCAACAGTTAAGTCACGATCAAACCATGTATGCCACAAACCACCTCCATATGTTTGGACACCAACTTCCAAATACCCACCTTTTGATACCTAAAGCCATCAAGATTCCACACCAAAATTTGGTTGTTCTGAAATGGATCTCTTAAGAAGAGTATTCTACATATGGCTACAGCTAATAACAACAGAAACACGAAATTACCTTCGAAACAGGCTTCAGTTTCAAACAGGGACTGTCAGTGTGAGCACCAACTACATGGAATCCGTTCCCAGCAACATATCTAAACAACAGTTCTATAATATCAGTTTGCAAAAGTAAAAGAATCCAATAAACTATAAGACAAACTTATTTGCACTGGATATAGTGCGTCAAGAAATCCTCAAAAATTTTCCAATTTGGCTGTAGGAAAGTGCTGAAGTATAAAGCTGAAAGCACATGTAAGTTATTACTTGAACAGTTGAACTTGACCAAACCAGAAATTCTTCCACATACAAAAACCCAAAATTTCAAATTTTCGCTTTCTCTTATTTCCTTCAATTTTCTCAGCAACCCAGTCGAGAGTCGTCAAAAAGTAGTAGACGAACGAATTGAATTCAAGCCATGAATAATCAAACTAATCAGTGAATCTACACCGTACTTTTTACCAATAGCAAAAGCGACAATTGTTGAGTGATTCCTGGTGAAGAAATATTTCTTCCCAGTCTCTAAACTCCAATCCTCCCTCTCTGAAACCTGCTCATACCCCGCACTCCTCAATCGCTTCTTTGCTTCGTCTGCAAAAATCAAAAGTCCTAATCAAAACCAACAACTTTGATTTCATTCAACATTTTCCCAGCAACCTCTGAGAAAATTAAATTAAGACTAAGCTATGGAAAACTGATGGGAAAGAAAGCGTTACCAACTGCGTGGAAAGCTGTGGGAGAGGCGTTTAAGAAGCTGACCAGATCCGCGGCCACGGAGCTTGCTTCATTTTGCTCTTCCTTCGCCATTTGGGTACTCATCAATTAGCTCTCTCTTGGGTGTGACTTTGGATCAATGATAACTATATATAAAACGAGCCTTGCGTGAGATTTACAAAGATTCTGACTGATGGAGGCTCCCAAGCAACCTCGTATGCTTGCCAGTTAGGTAAATTGCACTGATGGTACCTAAAATTTACCACTTATCTCACTTTGATACTTAAATTTTCAATATTATCAAATAGTGAGTCAATATGGTTCTTACCACTAAATGCCGTTAAAAAAACATTAAGAAACTACCATGTGCCTATCACATGCATCTCTTTAAGGACATTGTTTGTATTTTACAATAATAAATGCATCCAAACACTTTTATTCTTTATCTATATACATTAAAAGGTTAATTATTTTTACCTCTACGTGGTTTCGATTAGATACATTTTATCTATTTGACGTTTAAAATTATGATGAATTATAAATCAAATAAAAAGCAAATTTAAATCAAACCCTTAAAGTATTGATGCGTTTCTTATTTGATCCATGGAGTTTCAATTTGCTCAATTTAATTCTTAAAATATTAATTTTATTTCTATGAAAGAGTTCCGTCCATATTCATCATAAATACCAAACAATCAATTAAATTCAAAGAGACATTTTTGTCTGACTTTTTCATTGTCTTTACCTAACACTTTAACCATAGTTATATTAATTTATATCTGACGAGTAAATAATTATTTTGTTAACTCATTTATAATAAATTATTCATAAATTTGGATGGTGATAATAAATTTATAAACTTTATAAAAGGTAGTGATAATTAAAATTTATAAATATTTAATTTTGGACAGTGATAATTGATAATTAATTTTTTATTTAATATTTATAACGAATATTTCAAATGTATAATATCATGTTTATATTTATATGAATATTTATAAATTTTTATTAATTGCTTATTTTTTTTATTAATAAATTATTATAAATGAGTTGACCTCAGATATGGGCTCAAATTTGATAAAAATTTATTATTAAATTAATTTATAATAATTATTTAATTTTATAAATTAATTATTACAAAATTTAATAAATTATTATAAAATTAATTATCATTACCCAAAATTAATAAATTTTTTATTAATAAATTTGGGCATTGGTAATAAATTTATTGTTAACTCATATTTGAGCATTTTTCATTTTTTTTGTGTTTTTGGCATAGACAATGGTTGCAAGTCAAGGTAACGGGAAAATTCGATGAAAAATGCCCCTTTAAATTTAACTGACCGTTTGGTGTTTATGATAAATATGAACAAAAGTCTCTCATGAAAATAAAGTCAATACTTTAAGAACTAAATTGAGCAAATCGAAATTCTAGGGATCAAATAAGAACCTCATCAATACTTAAAGGTATGATTTGTAATTCAACTTTAAAATTATGCAATACCAAAGTAAAAACGTAAAGTGTGAATCACACACCCAAAATATATTATGGGATTTGTTTCTATTATTCCCCTCTAAAAGAATATTATCTAAGTGTCTAAAATACCTTTTATAATATATTATCTATACTACTCTAAAACGTGAGTATATCTGAAAAATATTTTTTTTTCACTTTTACCCTCCAACAACACAATTATGTCATCCATATCTTTCACGTTCAATAGTAGGCTCACCAGTCTTTCTCTCTCCTCCCTATAAAAAAGTGAGTATATCTAAAAAAAAAAATTTCACTTTTACCCTACAACAAGACAATTATGTTATCCATATCCTTCACATTCAATAGCAGGCTCACCAGTCTCTCTCTCCCTCTTGTGCTTCCTCTTGGCTGTTACTTTCTCTCTCTCCTTGCGTTTTCATAAATTTGCACAACACTTCCTTCACCTCCCCCTCTCCATCTCTCTTTAATTCTGCATTTGAGACCCCACAACTTATTACTGGAGGATTTAGAGCATGTTTGGTATATTTTTTGGGAAAAGGTTTGAATTAACTTGTCCAAACTCTTTCAAACCCAAAGATCAGATTCAACATTTAATGTTGTCTATACCCATGTTTGGTATGCGCATGAATATATGACTATTATGATAATATATTTGTATATAAATGATTATTGTATCCTTTAACCAATTTGGAT